CTCCTCAAAGTAATATAGTACGGTACTTAGAGTACATGTGAGATTATACTCAGGTTAGGGAGATGTTTAATCGATATAATTATATATATAACGTGTTATTATTCTACCTAACAATGTATTTAATGAAATGAATGCAAAACAAACTCAACGGCTAGAAGGTTTCATTGAAAAAACTACCCCTGGTCTTGCCTAATAAAACAACTGCAACCCGACACAGATTAAACGCAACCTACAAACACAATCATAATCTGGTTAATAAGTATCATTCAACGAGTTGGAGTAGCTTACTCTGCTCACAGTATGACAGCATAGGGCAGCTCAGTAATTAGGAGGTAAAACCAGGCAGGTACACTGGTCACACTTGACTGGTCTGTCTGATGATTAGGTCGTCTGACAATTGGGAGTGAACCATTTTATGGGACCGATTAGTTTTATGACCACGGGCCTCGGCACAAGCGTTGTGTTGGAAGACAAGTTATACATGTACATCCCATATGGTGACTGTTTTTCGCTATTCATATTCTAAATTCATTCATAATACCACAACATTTTAGTACTCCTTGAAACTTTACAATCACTTCAATGTGCACAATAGATTGAATGAGAACAAATGATATATTGCAGATTATTCAATCATTGTCTCTATTATCAGCCGCTACGTTTGTATCGTTTGCATTGTACAAAGAAATATTTTGTCTGTCCTTTTGCAGATTTAGCCTCAGAATGTGCTCATTTGAATTAGGAACGAAAATAATTGCTCATCATGAGTATATATGATACAGTTAAAAGTTACTTGTACACTGTAGCTGCATTCACTTTAAAGTCGTATACGACCTTCGCGAGCGAGTTGAATGATCCAGGTTAATTGGAACGAAGTCTAGAAGGGTTATGAAGTTTTGTATTTGGTAATGTGTAGGTTTGTTAAATATGATTTTTTTTAATTCCTTTTATTCAAAATGTAAAAAAATAATTATGCGCTTAAAAATAGAGCTGACTTGATGGGAGATATGGTGTAAGCCACCTGAGATTGTCTGGTGTACATAGTTTAACCTTCCCGTGCCATCACCCTGGTTGTTGTCGTTGTTTTAAGGGATTAAGAGCTACAGCTCATTGCATTTTTGGTTACAGTCTGTCTCACTAAAGTGGACATGTGCAGGTGAACACTGTTCAATTAGTATATGAAATGCCCAAAAATGTGAACTCCAGACAATTATAACCTGAGTGTAAACGTGCGTCTGCCTTTCCCCTCGTTCACCTTCGAAATCCTTGATTATTATATCATGCCAGAGTTCTGAAATTCAGTGACAATGTTGCTGAACAGTAGAATCTTATGGACGTATTGTGCAGAACCTGTTTGACACTATGGGTTCCAGGACCACTAACACTGGGAAAAGTTGGGTCCTAACCGCCCCAACATCTACAAGTTTGTAAGCTTGTAGACATTATTAAGAAGAAATTAACAGTCCCATGCTGAGACCTTTCTCAAAATTCAGGCCGGTGGCAGGCTGCCAACAAAGAGAAGAAAATATCGCAACCCCGACACAAGTGTGTTCAGTCAAACAATGAACTTACGACCGACAGAAAACAACTCCCGTTGAGTATGCCGATGCTGTATCTCAACCGTGTTGGCCTGAAAATTTAAACATGCTAATTAAATCCATAATCGTATAATTATTTTTAATAGAAACCGTATCTTAATTTGTTTTTGCACTGCATCACATCGTGTATTTCATCTGTATATGTGTAATGTGTATATATATAAATGACTACACTTATACCGCATATTCTGCAACAGACAATAATTAATCACCTTATTATTGTCTCTCCATTTACCATGTCTGACTGCACTAATAGCCTTTTAACAGTGGACACCGATTTCAGTATACATGAAGGCTTTTTGTTCAAAAAGGAATATGCAGGAAATTGTACGTTACAATTAACTGTGTACTAATTACATGTTTGAATGTTATCAGATTTGCGTTCTGAGATACAGTGATGTAAGCATTTTCTACAATTAACAATACATGTATATAATAAAATACAAAACTCTCTGCCGGAATTTTTAGTGGAAATCATTCGATCAAGTAAAAATGACTGCGTGACAAGACGAATCAACTATTTATACCCGATAAAAGAAACTGCCTTATTTTAGGAACAGTGCTATAACAGGACATTCGAAATTTCTAACAAGCAGATACATTAAAGACAGTGACTAGACTACATGTACGTAATCCGTATCAATCAAAGGTGTAAAAAAACCTGAACATCATATCTGTAGGAGACCTACCAATTTACCAAGTTTTATCATTACTATATTTATTACAATGCAAATACTTTAGTGATACATTTTTCAGAGGAGAAGGCATACACACAAGTATATTGCTTCCGTGTGTGAATGCAGGTTGTACTTGGCATCTCAGTTCTCAGTTTCATACCGGTTATATCTCTGAATTTGTATATAGAACCATGCGTACAGCATGATAATTACTTGCTATTCGTTAGTCTACAACACACATAACACAGTCAAACAATTTTGGGCCCCGCTTTTGCAAGTTATTTAGTAGAATAATGTTTTATTAAAATCTATTTCAATTTGTTTTCACCATTTTCCCGATTCCATGCATGTTTATGTTGCTACATCTTATTGCTCATGTTCCAAAATATTATAAAAGACTTCAATGTTTCTCCGTCCTAATCTAACGTTATAACATTTCAGGTCATTACCATCATCTAATACACAAGAGATGATACCAAGACATATTTTATTCTGTTTTATGGTCTATGCGGTCTTACAATTGATTTTATTAGTCTATGTAAGTCTAGTTTTATATGTCTAGTACATATTAATATTTTGAATAAGCCGTTAATATGCCAGTTGTGACAGGGATGATGGTATGGTAGCTGTAGCAGACAGATTGACAGTCGTTGTTACGTGAGTCACTAGGTTATTAGTACGGCATTGACCTTGTTGATTGTTACTATACTTTGAGGATTTCTGTGGCCAGTGGCGGACGTAATTCAAACTCCTTCCACACTGACACCGCATCAAATATATTTGTGTACCGATAACATAAATCTTATGGACAGGGTGGGGTGGTAGTTCACCGGACGACACTGTGTATATTGGGCGACTCCTTTGATATCTCCTCCAAACATACTTTTATTGAATGACCCATTAAACGATGATACACATCACGATCGCGGAGAAAATACAAGATTCGTTCTCGTTGAATATATATATCAAGGCACCAATTCATCTTTCATAAACTTTTTGTGTCTTTGTGCTGAATATATCCACATCAACGAAAATATGTAAAACATGTATCCACAAAAAAAATACATGTACAGGCTAGGTATTTGCCCACAGCAACACCTGCATAACTGTTTATTCACGCGTGGTGTGGCAGATTGTAATTGACCGAGAGCAGGTATTTTAGAATCACCTGTAAATAAGGCCGACACTGTAGTTAGATACAACGTACTAATGAGAATATGAGAATTATCATAAGTAGGCTGTTGCGTTTTTCTTAACTATTACCATTTTCACTGGTCAGTTCGACACCGCATATAATTGAATAATTATTTCGAGATTTCGTTAGAATGTGAGATATTCAGCCAAACGTTATGCAATAAAAGACGAATAGTTTTTTCCATTAAAATACGCGCACGCGTACCTGTATATTGCATACCTAGTGTCACGTAATTGCCCAGTGTGATGTATCAACGGGACATAAAATGGGAAATGAAATAGAAACTAACTAAACTTCAATGTTGTGGAAAATAACTCCAATGAATTGGAGTACACACGCATGAATTCGTATGATAAACTGTCAAAACGTTTTGAGAGGTAAGGCCGGGTTCATTAAAGATCGTTACAATATGTAAAACAGGTGAAATTTGTAAAACTTCTATAAAGGAAACATCCAACCAAAGGACTTTTTAAATAATAATGTAATGATATAATATAAAGTATATTTCACATGATACAATATACTTTGCACACAGTTAGTTGATGATTTAAAGGGACTGACGAAAACATGGGCGAAATATTTTAATAACGCCGTAAAATAGTTGAATCATGTGTCATGCTTGTAGACACACCTTTATGTATTTGTGAAACTAAAACTGTTGAGCAAAGGACAATAATCTCGCCCATGGCCCAAACTTTCTCGTCCACGGCGAAATATTTCAATAACGCCGTAAAATATTTGAATTAAGTTAAAATGTGTTTTATATTGTGACATGAAACTTCTAAGAACACCTTTATGTATTTACGAAAGAAAACCACGAGTTTTAGCAAAAAAAAATATTCTCACCCATGGGCGAAATATTTCGATAACGCCATAAAAAAGTTAAATTAAGTTAAAATAAGTTAAATCGTGTGACATGAAACTTCTAAGAACACCTTTAAGTTTTGAGTAAAGGGAAATATTATAAGTTAACATGAGTTATATTTTGTGCCATGATACTTGAAAGAAATACATTTATGTATTTGCGAAACAAAAACATTAGTTTTGAGTAAAGCAAAATATTCTTGCCCATTGGCCAAACCTTTTTCTCGCCCATGGGCGAAATAGTTCAATATCGCTATAAAATCGTTGAATTAAGATAAAATGAGTTAAATTTTGTGTCATGATACTTGAAAGATATACATATATGTATTTTTGCGAAACAAAAACATGAGTTTTGGGTAAAGGAAAATATTCTCGCCCATGGGCCTGCCCATGGGCCAAGCCTTTTTCTCGCCCATGGGCGAAATATTTCAATATCGCTATAGAATAGTTGAATTAAGTTTAAATGAGTTAAATGTTGTGTCATCATACTTGAATGAATACATTTAATGTATTTGCGAAACAAAAACATGAGTTTTAAGTAAAGAAACATATTCTCGCCCATGGGCCAGTCTTCGTTTCTGAACTTTGGGGTTTCCAGAATTAAAATGGGACGTGTTCCGGCATGCAATTTAAGCGTGTCAATACACGAGTGCAGTATCTAGGTGACCAATATAGCTGTTGCGCTACCCTCAGTCACAATTCGTCGTCCATCTCCTGCGATATAACATGATGTGTGATGATTTTGATCGTCCCCTAGTAAGTAGTACTTGTGTCAAACGTTATATCAAAATTGGATCAAGTTTACCTCCTTGACAAATTGATATCTGATATTATTAAGGGCGGTACCTTACAATGTATAGTGGATATTATATTCGTGTTCAGGTCATACTATGTTTACGATCGTCACGATATGGCTGAAATATTGCCGATGTGACGTTTAACTTTAACTCACTCACTCACTATGTTTACGATACGAGGGTCTAAATTCCGGTATTTCCCGACCGAGTTCCCGACACTCGTGTCGTAAACCAACACGAATATAATGTTCTATTGATTACCGAAGAAAATGTCGATGTACAGAGACGAACTTTAGTGTCTACCTATGACAGAAAAACGCAACAGTAACCACAACTTGTCGAATCTGCTATGACGTCGTTTTTAGCTGTACGTCAATCCAAATTCACGTCACAATAAGATTCGAATGACGTCAACTATGCTGTCCGGATGACGGAAACAATACACTCAGGTCTTTGAAAGGCATTTAGAAATGATTCACATAAGGAAGAGAATATATGGATGTCAATTTCTTTATTATGAGGAACACAACGTTTTGGAGTATATGCTTACCCCTTCATCAGGTGAAATGATGAGTCGTCTAAGGCACCACGATTCGCTGTGCAGCGCCCCAATTATGTTTCTAGGTTTGTCAGCACCATACCCCTGCTCGTGGGTTTCACGTAAGGGGTAAACGTCTGAGACCTGCATCACTTCGGGCTTTCCTCCCACATCAAGCTGACACGCCGTGATATAACTGGACTACTGATAAAAGCGGCGTTAAACCAAACTCACTCACTGTCTCGATGTAGAGTATTTTATTATTACGTATTTCACAGATATTCATGCAGACCATGGCAACTGATCGGTCCATGAGTAATCGTATACAACACGTAGGTGTAATGTAACAATATTATATTCGTGATCGTATTCAGACCAGACCGTTGTATACATGATTGTATATAACACATACTTGTACATGAAGCGTAAGGACTAGGATGATGGTGTACAACACATACATAAACATGGGATGTTACGTCTAGACCGTTCTATACACGATGTACAACACATACATAAACATGGGATGCTACGACCAGACCGTTCTATACATGATGGTGTACAACACATACATAAACATGGGATGTTACAACCAGACCGTTCTATACACGATGTACAACACATACATAAATATGGACTGTTACGACCAGACCGTTCTATACATGATGGTGTACAACACATACACAAACATGGGAAGTTACGACCAGACCGTTCTATACATGATGGTGTACAACACATACATAAACATGGAATGTTACGCCCAGACCGTTCTATACATGATGGTGTACAACACATACATAAACATGGGATGTAAGCACCAGGCTGTTCTGTACATGATGGTGTACAACAGATACATAAACATGGGATGTAAGCACCAGCCTGTTCTATACATCTTGGTGTACAACATATACATAAACATGGGATGTTACGCCCAGACCCTTATATACATGATGGTGTACAACAGATACATAAACATGGGATGTAAGGACCAGACCGTTCTATACATGATGGTGTACAACACATACATAAACATGGGATGTAAGGACCTGACCGTTCTATACATGATGGTGTACAGCAGATACATAAACATGGGATGTAAGCACCAGACTGTTCTATACATGATGGTGTACAACACATAGATAAACATGGGATGTAAGGACCAGACCGTTCTATACATGATGGTGAACAACACAGTCATAAACATGGGATGTTACGCCCAGGCCGTTCTATACATGATGGTGTACAACACATTCATAAACATGGGATGTTACGGCCATACCATATTCATGATGGTGTACAACCCATACATAAACATGGGATGTTACGACCAGACCGTTTTATACATGATGGCGTACGACACATACATAAACATGGGATGTTACGGCAAGACCATATTCATGATGGTGTACAACACACACATAATCATGGGATGTTACGCCCCGACCATATTCATGATGGTGTACAACACGTACATAAACATTGGATGTTACGTCCAGACCCTTTTATACATGGTGGTGTACAACACATACATAAACATGGGATGTTACGGCAAGACCATATACATGATGGTGTACAACATGTACATAAACATTGGATGTTACGACCAGACCGTATACATGATGGTGTACAACACGTACATAAACATTGGATGTTACGACCAGACCGTATACATGATGGTGTGCAACATGATGGTGTTAACCTTCTAGCGCCGTTTGAGTTGTATATTCCGTGGAGAGCTGATTGTTAGGACGACTGTACTGCTGGCAGAAAACACTAACGGGTACTCGTCCAATGTCGGAAAACAGATTGGGATGTACATGTACCAAATCTAAGGCACCGAGAACAAGGGGGAGTCGGACAACTTGGTACTTGTGATGCAAGAATGACATTTCAAAAGCGAGGTCCCATTATTTGCCATGTTTGTTCCTGAATCTTGTCAATCACATTAGTGTCAAAAGGGACGGAAAAATTTAATGATATACATTATTTTCATTTGATTTATAAAAATATGATCAGATCAGGTTTGTTGACCTGGACAAGCTTAAGGCTATATACGGGCCTATTCAAAAGAATTTCGTATTTATCATTTTCCATGACGCCCTCGACATATTCTTGGTCGCACCATGGATGGACCTCTGTGTCAAAACCACAAGCATGGCGAAGACGGTTGGTTGGTTGGTTGGTTGGTTGGTTGGTTGTTGTTTAACGCAGCACTCAGCAATAGTCCATCTATATGACGGCGGACCAGATAATCCAGTGATTGACGTCATGAGCATTGATCCACGCCATTGGGATACGATGACATGCATCAACCAAGTCAGCGAGCCTGACCACCCAATCCCGTCAGTCGCCTCTTGCGACAAGCATAGTCTTCTCTTACAACCATGGGTTGCTGAAGACCTATTCTACCCCTGATCTATAGGGGTCAAATAGTTTGTATTGTGTTTTTAGGGTCAGTGAGTATTGTTCGACCTTTGCACAACCAAGGCCGAATATCTCATGTATCCACAAGAGAAATCAAAACAGTGAACTAATGGTGTTTGGTCATATGGGACCAGTTTCCAACACTGGCTTCGAACAGCAGCTCCCCGACAGTAATATATAATTCGAATGGATGTCTTTGCACCCCGAGCTTTAAGCTGCAGACGACGACTCGAGGGAGACTCATAATTTTTGTGACCGATATGTATGTTTTCACCCACACAGGTTTTGCACGTCATATAGCTGGGATATTGCTGAGTGCGGCGTTAAACGACAAACCAACCAACCAGCATCATGAATCGTATACACTTATCGTACACACATATCGCTGGTGTGAACATGTCGAGGTAGTTCCAGCTAGGTTTACAATTAAGGTTAGGCTGCCAGCCGTCTAGGCCATAGTTAGGGTCATTGTGGCGAAAGTTAATAGATGTGGATACCATATATTCAGCGAATATAAACAGTCTGCCCCTGCACGTCGAGATCTCCCCCACAGAACTGGGTGGGTTTCAGCTTCTATTTTCTGTAACTTCAGACACACGTGGTGGGCGTTCCTGACGACGGTGGTGACACCATCACGTGTCTTAACAGCAATGGCTTCCTCATACCCAACTTCCCCAACACAAGAGGCATTCCAGGAATACGTTCTGCCAAAATGCGCGACGATGACATCATACTCTGCACTTATCCCAAATCAGGTAACATTAAAACTAAATGTAGAGGCGGAAGGGTAGCCTTGTGGCAAATGTGTTGTTGCTTTACGTTCGGGCCCGGGTTCGATTACCCGCATGTTTGAATGCATGTTCGGTGTCCCCCGTCGCAATATTGCTAGATTATTATTAAAATCCATAATCATTCACCCACTAGAACATAATATTTATCTCATTGTCACGCTTGATAAAGAGATTGCCTCCATGGTCTAGTGGTAGAGCATCTTTCCCGAAGAGCAGTGGGTAAGGTGTCCGATCCCCGGCCGCGTCATACCAAAAGACTTTTAAAAATGGTACTTGTTGCTACCCTGCCTGGCGCTCGCCATCAAGTGGCTTAATCAAGGACTGGTCGGCTCGGAGACAGTATACTGTGTCTGAGTTGAGTATTCATGTTACACTGCGGCATGGTATCTCAGTGAGCTAGCACTATAGAATTGGCACCAGTACAAACAGCCACACACATACGTGCATGCACGTCGCTATATAAATCCATTTAACCCCTTTTCATTGCATTTCATCTCCAGATAAAAAGTGTTAGAGTCAAATGTTGTTTTCATATTTCAGCTAAGTCAAATAAGGACCATGATTAAGGAAAAGTATTGTGGATGTGAAATATGTATATACTAGTTATGATCCTAGCAGTCGAGTAACGCAAGAAAACAATTAGCTGGGCTGGATGTTGCAACCAGACAATGTTCTTGAATCAGCTCTTGGATCTGATTAGGACAGCACGTGTGCGTAGGAGATTAGATTTCATGTGAGCTCAAGCCAGGTATTTTTGTCATAATCATAATCTTCTTTCCAGGAACCCACTGGGTGCTTGAAATAATACGAGAACTCGCCGCAGGTGAGATAATTGAAGATGACGTCATGATGGATCAGACCTTTCTTGAAATGGGGCCAGAGGAGAGGTATGCCGATCTCCAGTCTCCCAGAATCCTCAACTCCCATTTGCTGATGAAGCATCTGCCAGAAGATGTTATCAACAAGAAAGTAAAAGTCATAAGCGTTCTGAGAAATCCAAAGGACGTAGCTGTTTCCTTCTATAACTTTGCGAAGAAGGTTCCATATCTCAAATACAAAGGGGAGTGGAAAAACGTCTTGCATCCCTTTTTTGAAGGGAAATGTGAGTACGTATTCGATTTGTGATCCTCCTCCCCAGCAACATTCTTACCATTATATTACCATAGTCAGCGTGCTTTTATTCACCCTTCTACACATAAGTCGTCCCTTTATCATCTTTCTTCCGGTTGTCCTTCTTCATGTACTTATCTTATCAAAATCACCAGTCCTGCAATACTCCTTCTACGTATCACCCTTGCTACAATCATGCTAGCGATAAAAGGGGGCGTTGATTGCGAAGTGGTCTACTAGTATTTCTCTTTCCAGAGCTGCATTATTCCACCCTAAATAATCCTATCGACAATCCTTCATATCGTTATCTTTCTTGCCATAAACCTGACTAGGCATCATTTCCTCATATCCTTCTTCATCTAATAACAAGGTCTTCTTTCCCACAATTATTCTTTCTATTACAATCGATCCTATGACTATAATTTCTATATCCATCCTTTCCCCATCCTTCACTAACACATCTTTGCAAAATGACAATTATTTCTGTAACCATCCTTCCACTTCCTGTGCTCACCTTTTTCCCTGGGTTTATGGTGATTCATGGGCAAGTGCTCATGTTGTGTTCCGAACCTTGACTTGGGCTTTTGACAGAGGTGTCTTGTGGTTGTGGTGAGGGTTTTATTCCTTTAAGCACTTTTCTTATTGTTGTGACTTATAATTTACTCTTTTGGTTAACATCCAGGGATACCGCAAAATATACATTCTACAATTATATAATTATTCACGAGACAGGGTAGTTTTGATATATATATCCTTCCTTTGTAGTTATATATGGATCATGGATGGACTATGTTAGTGACTGGGAAGAAGTGAAGAAGACCAATCCTGATCTGCCTGTGTTGACTCTCTTCTACGAAGACCTCAAGCAGGTATGGCGGAGCAACACCCAAATACATTAAGTGGGTACGTTGGGAAAACCCATTAAACAGGAAAACGTGGCAAATCGAAAACACATTAAGTAGGTACGTCTTGGCAAAATGCGGACACATGAAGAAGGTGTGGGCAACAATTGGACACATAAAACAGGTATGTGGAGGGAATACCAAAATGTATGTGTTGGCAAACCGTGAACAAATTAAGTAAGACCAGGACACATTAATTAGGTATAGCGAGGCAACACAGTAAGCAGGTGTGACTCTCTTCTACGAAGACCTTAAGCAGGTATGGTGGGGCAACACATAGATACATTAAGCAGGTATGATGAAACAACACGTGGACACTTTCAGCAGGTAAGGTGGATCAACACATGGTAAAAGTAAGTAGGTATGTCGTGGCAACGCGTAGACACATTAAGCAGGTAAGACAGGTCATCACATGGATCCATAAAGCGGATATGGTTGGTAAACACATGGATACATAAGGAAGGTAGGGAAAGCACGTGGACACATTGAATAGGTACAAGCAACCCCCGGATACACAGAGTGGGAAGAAAATGTGAGTCACCACGCGGACATGTTAAGTAGATATGAGCAACATCGGAACATGAAGCAGGTATATTGAGGCAACACGTACATAATTAGCAGTGAACATTAGGCAGGTACGTTAGGGAAATACGTGGGCGTATTTAAGCAGGTATTTGGGCAGCACATAGATAAATAAACAATTAAGTGATTTTAGGTAACATGGGGATATATTAAGCGTATGTGGCGTCTCAGACAAGCTGAAAGTGGAAATAAGTTTAATTGTGTGTTATATTGTTATGATTTAGGTGTAGCGCCGAAACAATAAACATGCTTCATGAAGATATGTAGGAGATGTGTTTACTCGACTTGATGTAACCTCAGGACCAGATGCGAGAGATGAGGAGGATGTGTGAGTTCCTGGGTGTAGAGAGGACTGATGACTTCCTGTCCAGAATCCGCGACAACACAACACTGACGGCCATGGGGACTCTCAAGACAAAGGGGGATATTACTCGAGCAGTGTTCAGAAAGGGTAAAGATATGTTGCCGAAAAAACTGTTTAGGTCACCGAGAATTAAAACTGGGGTGTGACTTCGTAATCACATTTTATCAGCACAAACAACAATAACAGTCGTTGAAATCAAACCTATACAGGACTTTGCAGAGAACTTGAGAACTATTCATGAAAAGCATATCCATGCGAGTCTTATGTAATAATTGAGTTTGAATTGAAAGTCACATCAGCAATAGTTAAGCCCCGTTGTGAAACACAGCAGAAATATACGAAATATATTTGAGGGATACAATAATATATAGCATGTATATTTTTTAGAGCTTGCCTTTAAATGACCAATATTCCACGACGACACAATATAAAGTGGGCTATAGAACGTTAGCATCCAAAGCTTGGCCACCATACTGTGCCACTGGGACGCATAGTACCTCTGCTTCCTTCACTGGTAAAAAAAACATCACCTGACAAAGGCCTTTTTTACCTGTGTTATTCTTGTTTGTTCACTCGGTTTGGGTCATGTCAAGTAGATATTTTACCTATCGCATAATACCCCCCTCCCCCTACCCTGGCGCCTGACTAGCAATAAGGGTTTGATGCTAATGGTGGACTGACTTTGTTAAGATAAGTGCAACACATTTGAGGAAAATTCGGCGATTAAACTTTATGTATATCATCGCATGATCTAACTACAGCTAACGATCAGGGGTGACTTCACTTTACTACAGTTTAAAACAGCAGTGGTGACATGACTTAGATTTAGTTGCAGACTACTCTTACACTTGTGTCTGTTCCAGGGGGAGTAGGTGACTGGAAGAACTGGTTCACTGTGGCCCAGAACGAGTGGTTTGATCAGCTCTACCAGGAGAAGATGGCCGACTGTCACCTTCAGTTCAAATACACACTGTGATTTACTGACAATGTACTTCAGTAGCACCCACGATCATATGTTTCAGGAATGCCTTATAAACGCAGCTCTACACAGCGAATTGTGGTGCCTTACAAGACTACGTCATCACTACTGTAGGAGAAAATGCTGAACGTGTCCAGCAAAAATACCATTTTATAATCTTCGCAAGAATAACAATAAATGATATAATCTTGAATATGAGCTTTGATCAATGTCACATTATAACACCACGTGCCTCCTGTGTCCGCGATCTTCACTGTATGAGCTTATTAAATGTGTGGAGAAGTATGTTTTAAGCCGCTCTTAGCAATATTCTAACTATATGACGGTGAATACTGAGTTCCTTATTCCAGATAAGGTCAACGCTTCAATACCTGCGTCAGAGTATACAGTTACGGAAAGGGTTAGCTGTAAACTACTATCCCTACTAAGACCTCTCTTAATATACTGAACCGCAAAAGAAACGTCACCCAAGTAGCATTGCATGAAAAGTTGTCATTTAAATATCTGGGTAATTTTGTCAAAGTTTCTAAAATTCAACATTACCTTGTCCAGAAAAAATGAAATTTGATGATATGAAAACAAAGCAGATGACAATAAAACCGATCGCCCAAACGCATCACGGGAACGGCCATGGTAACACGAAGAACGAGAGTTCCGTGCAAATTTAAATGCACATGCGTTCCCCCATTTCTTGCCCTATAAAAATCCACCCAGATCGGATAGCATTCATTCGTTATTGAATTGCTACCACATGCCAAGATTGACAAGAAATCAGCGACTCCAAGCCCTTGGAAGACTGCAAACTGGACAAACCGCCCGGCAAGTAGCCAGAGCATTTCAAGTCCACGCAAGGACTCCAGCAACGGTACCAGACCACCAACACTATAGATGACTGACCACATAGTGGAAGACCAATGGTCACCACTCGACGTCAGGATCGTCAGAGTGTGGGACAGCATCTTCAAGATCGCTTTGTTACTGCTGCCGAAACTGATCGTCAGACCATGGGGACACTCCAGCGACACATTAGTGCGGACACCGTGCGTTGACGATTGACGAGCAGACACATCCACTGTCAAGGGACACAACGAGGACCCATTCTGACGCCACGTCATCGCCGGGACCGTCTTCGGTGGGCAATGCAACACAGCACCAGCATTTGCACCACCAGCAGGGGAGAAGAGTCCTCTTCTCAGACGAGAGCCGTTACTGTATCTGAACCGCAGATGGCAATGAGATGGATGCTTGTGTTGTTGAGAGAGACTCGGGGGATGGTCCGAGCATCATGGTGTGAGGTGGAATTGGTCTTGCACAGAGGGTCGGCCCTGTGGTCTTCTAGAACATCGGTCCAGGGAGAGGCAATGGTGTCACAGCAGCTCGGTACATTGTTCAAGTCAAGAGACTACACGCCATACCTCATTTGGCGCGTCGCCGCAACCACGAGTTTCAGCATGATAATGCCCGTACCCACACTGCGAGAGCAACAAGAGACTTCGTCCAGCAGAATGGCATCAGAACCAAGCATCGGCCTGCCCTCAGTCCCGATTTAAATCCCATTGAGCACTTGTGGGACGAGATTCAAAGACGGCTGAATGACGTCCGACCAAGGCCGACAACTGCAGCTGAACTGCGTCAGGCGTTCCTCTGAGTGTGGGCTCAGGTGCCTATGGCCTGCAACAACCGCCTTATCCATTCCATGTATCGACGTTGCACGGTAGTCATCAATGCACATGGCGGACACACGAGGTACTGACTTGTAATGCCATTTTCTCAGAGACTAGTGTTGTGTTTCACTTTAAGAACATTTGACACTTTAATTTCAACCTTGATGATTAGTTTTGCCAAGTTTAATCTTTTTAATATACTTAACAACAAAAGTTCCTGTGACACCAATATTTTTCAAAGAAGTAAAGTTTGGTTTTCAATATTTTAGTACATGTATGGAATCCAGTCACAAAAACGCAACTTCTACAGAAAAGCATGCATTCCATGCAAAAGTTGACTTTTATGCAAGCCCCATGCATTTCACTACCGAAGAATGGGTATAAAAACATTTGCGTTAACGGGATTCCATATGCATTGTTTAGCATCGTGCTGACAACAACCACTCAGAAAAACAACAAAATTACGCATCTATTCAACATTAAGAAATGCCACGCCTGTCCGAAAATGAGCGTCTGCGAGCCATTGGTTTGCTTGAAGCAGGATCGAAGACAATTTAACGTCCACAGATGGCAACGTCGGCAACAGACGAATGCAGTCAGAGACCATCCTCGGAGTGGCAGGCCACGCTTAACCAATAATCGACAAGACAACTGGATTCGAACAACACACCTACGAAATCGATTCCAGCCAGCAACAGTGACTGCAAGAAGCTTCCCTGGCCTTCACAAACCGTACGTCGTCGCCTCAGATGTGCAGGGATTGTCGCCAGAAGACCCGCCAGACGTCCCATTTTGACAGAAAACCACCATCAAGCACGTCTACAGTGGCGTAGACAGCGTCTACGCTGGACTGCCATGCAATGGGGACAAGTTCTATTCACTGGCGAGTCTCGTTTTCACCTCAGCCACAGCGATGGACGGATTCGAGTGTACCGACGTCGAGGTGAACGTTACGTCAAACATTGTGTCATGGACGAAGATGGGTTCGGGGGCGGCAGCGTTATGGTATGGGCTGGGATTACAGCAAGACAGAGGACCCGTTTGATATTGGTAGAGGGAAATCTCAATGGACAGCGCTACCGCGACGAGATCATCGGCCCTACAGTTCTACCGTTTTTGCGTCGTCATTGCCCAGGCATTACCTTTCAACATGACAACGCTCGACTTGTTCAGGATTCTCTTCAACAAAACAACGTGAATGTCATCCGCTGGCCGGCTCGCTCCCCTGATCTCTCACCAATCGAGCTCATGTGGGATGAGATGGATCGGCGCCTTTGACGTCAACCACGTGTTTCACAGACACTCCAGGAACTTCGAACCATGCTCCAGCAGATATGGACAGATATCCCACAGGACATTGTGCGACGCCTGGTCCATTCCATGAGACGAAGATGTGTTGATGCAGGTCATGAACGTTGCGCGATTGCACGCTGCGATGATAGCAACTGGCATGAGTTTGGTTCTGATGACCTTAACACAATTATCGAGAATCAAGGCCTCATACCCATTGTCAGCAGCCAAGAAACTGGCAGAGGTCAGTGTGGAGTGGCAAATCCATTCAATGTGTCACAGTCTCTGATTATCAGACAATGGAAAAGGTACCAACAGACAAACGTACGGATCCGACGATCAGAAATAGGCTCATACAGCCCGTATCCATGCTCGAGGCCCACGTATTGTGACGCCCCTTATCGTCTTATTACCAACAGATAGATGGTGCACATAACGTCGGAACTGGGGTAATCGTCGCTGCTCAAGTGTCATGTTTTCTGATGAACGCCCCGATTCACTTTGCTCTTTGACCCGTGAAGATCCGGGGTAAATTAGGTCTTCAGCAACCCATGCTTGCAGTAAAAGGTGACTATGCTTGTCGTAAAAGGCGCCTAACAGGATCGGGTGGTCAGGCTCGCTGACTTGGTTGATGCATGTCATCGATCTCAATTCCTTTGATCGATGCTCATGATATTAATCTCTGGATTATCTGGTCCAGACTCTATTTTTTTCAGACCGCCGTCATATAGCTGGAATATTGCTGAGTGCGGCGTTAAACAACAAACCAACCAACCAACTTTGCTCTTCCTTGACAGGCGTGGTCATGTTTGGCTACGTCTAAATGGGCGTCAAGTAATTCGTCGCGGCATTACACACTACTGATCCAAAATCGTCAACTTTATTTTTTGCCATCATACCCCAATTGTCCTAGACTGCACCCCTCAGAACTTTCATAGTACGATAAACATCTCTCACTCGTCGTTTATTTCTTAAATAAACAAAACCGTATTTCCAATCAGTTTCATGACTAAAGCAGTTAATTATAAATACGTGTTTGATATCAGCATCTATTTTGTGGTGTAGTGTTAGCGGCAGTCCTGTTCAAACCTATGCGTAATCCACGTATTGATTGTAATGCACAGATATATACTTCAGCACAGTTCTGAAGGCAGTCAACGGATGTAGAATTATGCTCGGCACTGCGTTCTTTTGGCTTTCATTGAATTATGTTGTCGTGGCAAACACTGGCCAAACAGGTCCCCCAAAACTACCCGAAAATGACAAACTGACAAAAGATATTTATTTCCATGACAAGAATAGTTTGGTATGTGGGATTGTTTGTAGCACCAGTGACACGTGCAATGGTTTTAACTATACTAGACCTGCAGGTTGTCAGTGTAAAGGCGATGCAGCCCTGTCCCGTGACGCTGCCGATGAAGGCCTTGAACCGCCAATGACTACAAACATATCAGGTAAGAAAACTAATATTTGTATTAGCTGAAGATAAGTTACAAATATAAGGTTTATATATTTAATCACTCTTTTTTACCTCAGTGGCGTTTCAATGAGAAGAAACTGTTTGTTCATTTACACAATTTCAATTACTATTAGTTGAACAGATTTATTTATATCATCAGAACACATTTCCGCTTGAATCGGTTATGGTGTAACTTTTAGAAGTGAGGAATGACTATGTTGTTGCCGATTAAAAAGGAATGGAAATTGATGTCAAAGATGACTCAAATTTAATTCAAATATCTGACCCGTGAAGATTCCGGGGTAGAATACATGTAGGTCTTCAGCAACCCATACTTGCCGTAAAAGGCGACTAACGGGATCGGGTGGTCAGGCTCGCTGACTTGGTTGATACATGTCATCGATCCCAATTGCGTGGATCGATGCTCACGATGTCAATCACTGGATTGCCTGGTCTAGACTCGATTATTTTACAGACCGCCATCACATAGCTGGACTATTGCTGAGTGCGGCGTTAAACAACAAACAAACAAACATTCAAATACTTTACTCCAGTGGGCGGCAGGGTAGCCTTGCTGTTAAAGCGTTCCTTTGTCACGCCGAAGACCTGGTTACTATTCCCCACATAAGGTAAATGTGTTAAGCCTTCTGGTGTCCCCTGTCGTGATATTGCTGGAACGTAGCTAAAAGTAGCGTGAACCATACACATTTGTACTCCCATTGAAAAAAATGTTTCGGCAGATAACGAGACTGCTTATTCACTGGCGTTGACGGTTTGAAT